TAAGTGGAAGGATGTGAGGGAGGAATGGGGCACGAGCCCCCGATGGGGAGGACTGGGCTGGCTCTGCGGGCTTCTGGGGGTGGAAGCTCTCCTGCAGCCCCCCAATTGCCCCCTCTCCCCAGAAGGCAGCCTGCGGCAAGTGCAGCCGGGATGATGGCCGAGTGCTGTGATGTGCCCAGTGTGGGCACTCCGGGCACTCCAAGCCAGGACTGGTTTTCAAGCGGGGCACCCCTGAGAACTGTCTGTCCAGGGTGGGGGTCGGGTCCCTTTAAGCACAGCCCTCGGCTAGCCTGAGACAGCATCTCCACGCTCTAAGTCCTCCTCTGATGCCCTGCCGGCACTGCTTCCAGCCATCCTTAAGCCCTGTTCAGGGTCCACTTAATGTGGACATGCTAGTTCGAATTAGCAAAACACTAATTCGAACTAGTTTTTAGTTCTAGACGCGTTAGTTCGAATTAGGTTAGTTCGAATTAACTAATTCGAACTAAGTTAGTTCGAACTAACTCTGTAGCGTAGACATACCCAAACTTACCAAGATATTTTGATCAATCAATGACTGAAAACTACTATTAGGCAACGTACAAAAAATGGTGTTTGTGATCTTAGAATTTCCTTTAAGGTTATTTATATTGTATATTTTGATATGTGATACTGACACAGATTGTGTTAATATTACCATCCCTAAAGCTTTAACTTTCTGAATCTCAACATCTACAGGTAAATAACTCTGTGACCTTCACACCATGTCTAACACTTTCATAAATTCCTGCAGCTCTGCAAATTTACAGATAAAAACAAAAGAGTCTGAAAATAAACACTGATATTATCCATTTAAATTATTTTTTTTTAAATCTACTTCTGGCAAACAAAAATATTGTGTCCAGTTGTGATGTTCCTATTTCAAGAAAGATATGGAAATACTGGAGAGAGCAACAAAGAAGGCTAGAAAAATGACTAGGGGCTCAAAAACAAAGGAGTGTTACACTATGAGGTTTAAGGAGCTTAATTTATTCAGCTTACTGAAGAGAAGGTTGAAAAGTGACAGAGGCATTGACACAGGCACAAGAGATCTCAGGGATTTGGTATACACTGAAGGAGAAAGTTGACTTAAGGAGTCAATGTATCTTAAATTGTGTTTTCGGGCCATCTACACAACAGGAGGTTGACAGGAGCAAATGCTCTCGTCAACTTCCCTTACTCCTCATGATGAACATGTCTACCGGTGCCAACGGGGACACACTCTCAATTAGAATTAGCGGGTCTTCACTAGACCCGCTAATTCAAATGCTAGAAGATCGACCTTTGGAGGGTCAATCTTCTCCGTAATATACATAACCCCAGGGGGCTAAGGACTTTTTCAGCATTGCCGATAAAGAGGTAACAAGAACCAATGTCTGGAAATTGATATCAGACGAATTTAATCTTGAAATATGACAATTTGTAACAGTGAAGCTAATTAAGGGTTGGAACGAATGGCTTACCAGGAGAAATAGTGAATCCAAACTCTTAAAATCTTTAAAATGCAATTTTCTTTCTTAAAGACATGCTCTAATCCAGTTTCTGGGGTAAATTCTACAGGCTATGTGATCATCACAGTAGTGCCTTCTGGCCTTAGTCTATGAAATATGCACATATAATCATGGTAATTGTGCGTGGTTTTTTAGGAGTACGAGCATAGCAGACTTACTCTGCATTGCCCGGATCCTTCAAAGCAGAAGGGTGGTGGTGTGGGGGAGGGAGTGCAGGACTGAGGGAAGGGCTTTCAGGATATAGAGCGGATGGAGGAGCCTGGGTCAGGCGGGTATGAGAGTGAGGTCTGGAGGGTGAGGAGGGGCTCAGGAGAGGGGGGCTTTTTTCTCCCCCAGCTGTCCCCCCACTGCCAGGGGCCTTTTTTCTCCACCTCTGGCACTGTGCTAAAGGGGGGAAAGGTTTGGGGTCAGGGGAGCTACTTTGTGTGCTAGCAGGCAAGATAGGAGAGCCCCAATCCTGCTGGTCACTTTCCTGGTGGTATAGTTGCTGCCAGTGAACACTCTGCACTGCAGCATAGCTCTTCCCTGCAGTCTCTCTGCCCCCAATGGAAACTGATATCCCTCCAAACAGCAGCCCCTCCCTTTGCATTTTATGGAAAACTGTCCTTCTGCCAGGACTTCCAGTTGTCCTGGAACAACCAAACCTTGACCTTGCTTTTAAGTTAGGAGAAGAGGAAATTGTAGTTAAGAGAAGAGGAAACTTTATACAGGCAGTCCCCGACTTACGTCGGATCCGCACTTACGTCGGATCCGCACTTACGAACGGGGCTTTCTCGCCCTGGAGGTCGAGGTAGCGGATTGCTACCTGCGAGCTCCGGGGCGAGAAAGCCCCGTTCGTAAGCTGCTCCGGTGCCCCTGGTCTGCTGGAGACCGTCTCCAGCAGACCAGGGGCACCAGGCGGGTTCCCGCGCTTCTGAGGCTTTGCCAGAGCAAAGCCTCAGAAGCGCGG